ACACGGTTGAAAAACATGTGTTTTAAATGTAAATGTAAAAGTCGTGAAATTTTCAAAAAATCATAACTTTTTTGTTTTTGAGTTTACCATCACCAAACTTTGCCAGTTTGGTAGCAAATATTATGAGCTTCAATGAGGCTTAAAACGAAAATTTTCAAAAATGTGCTTTTTGAGAAATTAATTTTTTTAATAAGAAATATATTTTTTTTTCATTGAAACAAACGAATTTTTTTACAGTGTATATTTTTAACATTATTGCCAAAATAATATCTACAACTTTGCTGAAGACACCAAATTAATCGAATAAAGCGTTTCAGCAATATAAATTTTTTAACTCATTAGTACTATTTTTACACAGGCCCTGTTAGAAAAGTAGTCGTGATTCAATTTGAAGAACTGATAACACAAATTGGCATCTTTACTAAAAAAGAACAACTGTGCAAATTTTCATCAAAATCGGAGCCGACAAATTAAAAAAAAAATTAAAAAATTCGTCAATATGTAGAGAATTGCTCATTCGCGGCTCAAGGTGGCGCTGTAGTGGGTCGATTTTCTTCGTGTACAAAATGTAGCACCTTTGAAGTATTGGGAACATCCGGATGTGAATCCGAGTTACCTCCGAATAGTTATTAGCGTTTCAAACGAACACCACCTGCTTTACTTCTGGGGAGGGCCTAACGCGCTTGTGCAGTTTTTATTTTTACGAACAGGTATACGAATAGCAATGTTTGCATAGGTGTAACTTTTTTGTTTAACCATGAAATTGGTTGAAATTTTCACAGTGAGTAGAAAAATGTTCGAAATTATGGTCTACTAAAAATTGGAACATATTGGCCAAGGATTCCGGTTTTATTCCGGGTTTCCGAGAGGCCATCGTGGGGAGAAAAGGTACCAGTCGTCTAGAACAAGGTGGTGCTGAAAATCCACAGCAACAGGCATCTATGGGTAGTGCTGATTAATATTTTAACAAAATCAACCCATAACCTGGTTCTAAATACTGAGCGTCTACCGGAAGGCCTTCCGATGATCTGGATCAACCTTAATCTGGATTATTATGTATTGTTGATCAAAGTAGGCCTTGATTATTCTCTGCAACTATATGAAATGTAGTAAATTAATGATTTTAGATATTTTAGCGTTTCAATGGCTCCAAGTGGTCACCAGATGATCCGCCGGAAGATCCGAAACATCGGTAAAATTTAGTGCTACATGAAATCGATCAAAGTAGGCCTTGATTTTTCTCTGCAACTATGAGAAATGTTGTAAAATGGTGATTTTTCATATGTTAGCTGTTCAATGGCTCCGAGTTATCACCAGATGGTCCGCTGGTAGATACGGAACATCCGTAAAATTGATTGCTGTGTAAATTTGATCAAAGTAGGCCTTGATTTTCCTCCGCAATTATATGGAATACAGTAAAATGGTGATTTCTGAACTATGAGCTGGTCATTGGCTCCAAATGGTCACCAGGTGACCCACCGAAAGATCTGGAATATCCGTAAAATTGGTCGCTAAGTAAATTTCATCAAAGTATGCCTTGATTTTTCATTGCAACTGTATATAATGTAGTAAAATTATGATTTTTTTATATATTAGCTGTTCACTGGCTCCAAGTGGCTCGCCGAAAGATCCGGAACATCCGTAAAATGTATTGCTGCGTAAATTTGATTAAAGTAGGCCTTGATTTTGCTCTGCAACTACGTGAAATGTAGTAAAATGGTGATTTTTGTTATATTAGCGGTTCAATTGTTCCGAGTGGTCACGACATAACCCGCTGGAAGATCTGGAAAATCTGATAAATTTATTGCTGTGTAAATTTGATTTTACTCTGCAACTATGTGGAGTGTAGTTAAATGGTGATTTTAGATACATTAGCTGTTCAATGGCTTCTTCAATAGATGGTTTTGAATAGAAAAATGCCTTGGCAACAAGTCCTTCTTAAATAAGTACCATTAAGTTTTGATGAGTTTATTTTGTACCTGCATTATAAAAAATATTGGTATTAGTATTATATAAAGAGCAATAGGCTGAAGTGTTTTTGCAGAACAAAGACCATTCCACGCAAATAAGGAAAAAGTATCCAAGTATTTTGTTGTTAAATGATGTTTAAATTTTGTTTGTTGAATTTTAAACAAAATATGCAAAGGACGGGTATACACTACTGCTGAAAAAACTCAGAGTGCACTGGAAAAATAAACTAATAATTTCATAAATATATTACTCTTGCTTTCCTTTTTGCTCGGGTATGCTCCTGGAGTTAAAAATTGTTTAAATTCGACTCCTAAAAAACAGCTATATTAAATTGCTTCTTGTAATCGTTACTTGTTTGTTGACTATTATATCTCCAATAAAACCTTTGAGGCCGTATTTCACTCAGCAACTCATTTTGCTTATTTCTTCCGGAGACTTTATTTTATGTATACTATCTGGAAGTGGGCAAATATTGTGGTTGAAGGGACTATTTCATGCAAAAGCATGTTTCAAGTAGACCTGTAAACCAGTCATGTCATCGGCAGCGGTGGCGCAGAAACTATTTTCGCCTTGGTAGTACTTGCCACACAACGTGATGCCGCTGGTTTAAATCATTGATAGAATAACCTGAAAAAAGTTTCTTGGTACATACTCCCAACAAACCCCCCGCTGACTGTGAAATGTCAGGAGCGACAGCACAATACCGAACAGCAGCTTTTTATCCCCTCGGAACTCAAAAAATAAGAACGGCTATTTTGTAGATATCCTCCACGGTTCTATGAATACCGAAGAAACCAAAAGAGCTAGCTGCCTGGACACCCAATTTTGTCCTGCCGCTCATCGGAGAAGTGATAATGATCTCCGCCCTCAGAATCAAAGCCTGGAGAGGTAATGTCACCAGCACACTTAATGGAAACCTGACTAATTGAGTGTTGTTTTCAGCACAGTTCTAAACCATCCCTTACCCCGCCGAATTAGAGAACAATTCCAAAACGAGCCCAACAAACATTTTCGAAGGTAGAAATATGAATAATTTTGCTGGAAGAAAATGTTCTAATTATAATTTGTCTTGTAGCTCCCATCGGTATGGGTGAATCTGACAGACACCTAGATGCATTCCAGTCAGAAAAAGGCCCTTATATGAGGTAACCAAACCGATTTAATTTAGTCATAGCTGGAAGCTAATCGCCATGCTTATACAGGACCATTTCTTTCGTCGTCACGCATTTCTCTCGGTGAACGGACTACAAATCTGGAGTGTCAGAGTCAAAGTAATCATACATGGGAGTATTCGCCATTAAGCTGCTTTTCTTCTGTTCAAAAAGTCCTTTATATAGCAAACATTCCGAGCTAAATGCGGTATTGTTGACGTCCAAGTTCATTTTACGTTCTTTATTCTTTTTCAAACAATTAATACATTTCAATACAGTTGACGTACACTCTGACGTTTTGTGTTGTTGGCTGCACCTAGAACATCTATCACAACACATCTTCAACACATTAATCGCGGGAACTATCGAGCACCGATCAAACCCTACACTTACTTTTTTTGCACATAACAAACATTTAACATCAATTACAACACTAAACTTGTTATAAGTGAAACATGTTCACTACTTTGGCATCATTAATAGCGATGTCTTCATTTTGACTTTTTAAGTAGTCATTGAAGACATCGAAGGAATACTGATCGCTCATGTCCACTATTTTCAATCTTGGCACCGAAGTGGGAACAACAGCACTATATTTTTCACCCAAATTGCTTTAAATATCAGTTTTTACATCATTTACATTAGCTCCTGTTGCACACTCAACAATAATAGAGCCATCTTTACCATTCCTAAAATTACTGATTTTGTGTGTTTTTGGATCCAACTGAGTTTTCAAATACTTACGAGTATCTTCGCAAGGTTGTTTGGACTCTTCGGTTTAATCACAATGACCGGACGAGTTTTACGATTATTCGGTTTGTTACTATTACACATATTTTTATTTGTACTTGTACTAGCATGACTAGATCTTTTTACAACATCCACAAAAATCACATTTTCTTGAAAAACATCATCAGTCGAATCGTTGTCACTATTTTGAAATTTACGTTCTTTGTGTCTGGGATTTCGGTCCAATTCAGGATGAACCATCCTAGATGCACCATTTGTTGCAGCTAATTTCTTTTCCGTACTAATTTCAAAACATGAACTATATAGTCATCGTATTCCATTTCTCACTAATTAATTTTTCAAAGTAACTTAAAGAATCGTTCAAATTTTGTTGCATCTTTTCCATGCCAATTGTCAACGCGTTGTCTATCTGAGCAGCAACGTTGTTTCGTATACCAGTGATAGAGTTAGCAACAGAAGACAATTGCTTCATTGCTTCCCCCATCATTTTGGTATCCGAAACCGATACATTCTGCTCGTCACAACTCTGATCTGACAAACAATTACTACACTTGAATAGAACATGCTCATTATCTGTGATAAGCTTTGTCTGAGTCCACGTAAGTGTAGTGCACTTGCAATGAAATACACGAGCACACTTACCCACACAGATAACCGGCAAATCACTTACCAAAATCCCCAAATTGCATATTGCACACTCAGCCATATATCACATAAACTTTACATGCCACACCACAGAGCCACAAGTAAAAACGAACGAAAGCAGAAATTTACAATGCCGTAGCTTACTAAAAGCATACCAAATAGCTTGCCGGGTGAAGGAAAAAACAAAAATTGAACGAGAACCAGCGGCAGCAGCAACCATTCTCCTACTTATCTAATAAATTATCACTACGGGGCACGCGTAGGATCAATTGTACTGCGGCAAAAACACAATTTGACATTAAACTCAGTTTAATCATATCGAGTGATTCAAAATAAATGCTCTCTTTCTAAAATATTGGAGGCGAACCAGCCTAAGGCTGAAAGCCTCCTAAATAAAGCTAAATAATAATAATAATTTCTAAAATATAATCATCTGAAATTTAAATCAGTTAAATCATGGTTCACAAGAATGGAAAATAATCCTTTTTGAATAAATTTTAATAATTTTTTATTCTTTTTTAATAATTTTTGATTTAATTTCAATCTTTTTTGATTACATATTAATATTCAAAATGAATAAATTTTAATACTGGAACGATTATTTCAAACTTAATCATGCATGACTACTGCCGAAGTAACCATGGCTCGGACTCAATAACGTGAAGAGGGAATCTGCATACTTATTAAGCTTTTTTGATTTAATTTGTTTTTGAGTGTATGCAAACGCTGATCGAAACCTAAGAGGAAGAGGTGACAATTGGCTTCTTCCTCTTTTATTTCTATCTCTATCTCTATCTTTATCTATCTCTATCTCTATCTCTATCTTACGCACATGAAATTGGCCAATCAGGAGCTGGTTCACGTTTGACAGAAAAGTGGTTCATTTTCGCCCCAGTATTGTCACCTCTTCTCTTAGATCGAAACAAACGTTATGACGTCTCGACAATGGTAATTGAGCGAACGAAAGAAACGAATCGTGCGAAGCGGAATGAAAACCGAGCGATAAACGAAGTGCACCAATACATTCAGCTCTTCAGTTCCACTCCTTGCACAGCCCAGGTTGGTATATGCCTGTTCATTTGCTGGCCATGTGTTTGCATTCCCTACTGTTCGACTGCCCCAACTGTGGATCGTTCATCGTAGCTTACAGAAAGTAGAAGCTCTCTGCCGTTACTTTAGTAAGCTTTCCGACCACCTTAACAGCTTGTAACAATTAAGGTATGGTAGCGCCACTATTGATGGAGTGGCGGGATTTGCCACTAGATATATAAAAACAAATACAGCAGAAATTTATAGCTCCCTTACAGTAGCCCGGATCGTACTACTTTGTTAATGTGGTAGCCTTCGATTACATTTTAATCTTTTACTAAACATTGTGAAACGCAACCTCGGTTGGTGTTGGTTTAACCAATCAGAGCAGGAGACGTTGGAATAGATAAGAGTTCTGAATTTATTTCTCGTATACGAAGTGGCAAGCGATATTCGTAATATGAGTCAGGGTTATTCCAGTTAGACCTGTGCGAGTGATCAGATCGTCAAGCCTAACTGTCAAGTCAAAATTATACCCAAGTGTGCTATATTGTTCATACCGAGTGTGCTATTCTTAGACTTGAAGTGATAAAACGCGTGATAGCTAACTTTGTTATATAAAGGTGAGTTATGCGATTTTCGTTAGTTTTCTAAACCTAATTATATAATGTATAGCCAGATATTCAGACTGAATACTAACTGTGTAGCTCAGTGCCACTTAGAACTAATAAAGTGAAGCTTAAAGGCTAATGTAAAGGTAAAACATTGAATAGGAAATTTGGTCCAACAAGTATTCCTAAAAGTACTCGTTATCGCTGCAAGCACTATCCTCGTGACCCTTTCAAGCACCATGCGCTCCCCAATCTGCGCGTGTCACGTGTGGGTTCGTGTTTGGCAGCGATCTCGAAAGTAACTTAGCGAAATATGTTTGTATTCCTTTGTAAAGTCGCCCGGAAATACCAGCTGACATTTTGTGTTTCATATAAGACAATACATCAAGAAGGCTGCCAACTCTTCCATTTTCTCGTACGACCACTATGAGCACGTGCAATTGCGTCATCTACCGCTCAGTGGTAAATGTTTCGAACGAATTTGATAGAAAAGATTACAGCCTCAGAAGAACGGTTTGGGTATTTGCCCAATTTTCTATGCGTTGCTTCACTAAAGTGCAGCGCTACTGTATCTGTCGCTTGAATTCTGGCAAAGTTGCCATACTTCTAGATATGATGTCTTCGGTTTTATGCTTACTTCTTACTTCAAAACGGGAAGAAAAAAACTACAAGGGACAGCCCTAAGATGCTAGTTCACATTGCTATGACGACGACTGAATTAAGAGGTCAATTTTCTTCATCGATTTCCTTTTTTGATGACCATCATGGCTTCACTAACCATTTTCACACTATTTCTGCTAGGCTCTTCTATCATCCAGAACAACAAACGTATCAATGAATGCAATCAATACCGTCGAGTTTCAGTTTCATTGAAGCAAAACGTAGGCATCAATGCATCATGGATGTTTCCTATTCGTTTTAATGATTTGTATTGTTTCTATATAGCATTGAAAACGCAACTAGAAATTGAATACCATGTTTTTATATCACTGGTAATTTTACAGAAAATCATTCATTTATAACATTTTAAACATTCTACCAGACACAAACAGATATAACACTATCAGGCTTAAAGTGACCATTTTATACGATAGATTAGGCGATAAAAGTATAGAGTTGATTGTTCCGTTAGAGTAGTATGGCAGTGTGAAAATTGTATATAGAGAGTAGAAAACGATCATATGTCAATTTCGGGTTGATCGTCTCTTTTACCAAACTCCCTCGTTGGGGAAGGACGGTGATGGAGATGATCAATGATAATGATTAATTAAAAGATTTTATCTAGAAATTAAATTGTTGATTATATTACGTACATCTTAAATAAATGTTTGCATTTATTAATAACACCTATACATAATTTACCTCTACTCCACCAAGTGTTTCAAACTCCTGATCCTGGATTACCAGCCACTTCTGTTTCCATCTGCTTTATTCTTGATTACATATTTTGATCATATCATAGAATAATATGAAGCTCATTTTGAGTAACTTCTCTTGAAGTCGAATAATCTTTGCCTTACGGTCATTTAAACGAATCGTATCACTTATGCTATTTTTAGTTAGAAAATTGTGGTTGGTATTTGTAACCCAAGTCGCACAAGTGCTGAAACAAAGTTTTATAAGCCAACCTTATCAAAATTGATTAGGCGTTGTAAATCAGCTTTACAATAATTGAATAAATGCTTAACAAACATATTTGGAAGCACTGTTCGTTGTGAAGCTGTAAACCTGCTTGTCGATTTAAGTGAGGTGCTATAAAAGGTATCGTTAGTCTTATGAAGCATATAGTTAAACCGAACGCAAACAATCATTCAAAAGCGCTCCATGCAGTTTTTTAAGCTCTTAACCAAATGGCAATACAACTTCATTCTTGTTTAACTCTGGAAGCTATTATATAACTTTTTTTTATCAACACAGGTGTTTTATAAGTGCTCTCAATTATGTGTTTGGTCAGATGGCAACTTGAGTGTGAAAAAATCGTTAGAACTGTTTCCGCACATCGTAGGTTCATGAGCAAGTCGACCATTATATAATTTGCCATGTATGTAAATCGTTAACTTCACGCATTAAATAATTTAAACATGTTTAGCTATAGTACTATCATATTGTTCATCAAACACGCATTTAACGATCAATTTGAATATGTCCTGGTTGGTAGTACTGTCGTTTGGGGCGCGCATAGTCAATTCCCTTGCGTTTGACGTTTACACGCTAGCGCCATATGTTGATCGTACTGCCCATGACATGGGTATACTCAATAGATGGCGGTAGCGTTTTAGTGGCGCTATTTTATAGTGAAAAATATATAATACGTTATGTATCTTTATCAAGTTCAAATGTTACTTTCAAGTTAAGGACAACACACGTTCCAAGCATATGATTCATATATTTGAAACTGATATTGAATGCTATTGAACGTCACACACACACATTATGCTTAAAAATCTACTTTTTTATGAAGAGCAACTAGTTAAAGCTACCATTGGAGTATCATAATGAAATGCTATCAAGATTTATTTTGATATCTTTCAACAACCAACCAATTCTATCCCGGTGCTCAATTTGCCTCCGTATCACAGTATTTAAATCTTTTTCCTTTAATTTTTTTGTGGCGAAATGTAGAATTCACATGATTTTCTTATGATTGTTTTCATCTTAATTTAATTTGTTTCATATCAAGATGGTAGGAGGAAAAATACGAACGCACATTTGAAATTCAAACTTCGAAGGCAAATAACTGCCCCGGACCCCGGATCCTTAATCTGGCACTGAGGCACATTCAAAAGATGCAGTATAAAGAAAGTTTTTAAGATTAAATATAAGCTGCTGATGAAGTCTAGGAACGCTTCATGAAGGTTTCGCGAGGAATTCCTACTACAAAACATTTAATCAACATCGTAAAAAATTAAAATTATAAAATGCACCATATTTTCAACTCGGTTGAAGTGCAGCCTCTTTGATGTGATATTAATTTTAGTTTTTTGCTCCGCAGGATCATTGACGGACGAGCCGAATGCTGATACTTCGCGAAATCTCCTATCGCTGTTTCTTCATATCCGCGATACACCCAGTACTGTAATTGTAAAATAATAACAGGTAAGTCGCAATTTTTCTCAAGGGGCGACAGATAAGTAAGGGTAAAATTCAAAAGATGTGCACCAAAGTGAAGCAATAGAATTTAAAAATTACCGGTATGACAAAAATCCTCTCCAAGGGTGACATGGCATTAGATAAGAAAGAGAACTTCATGAGGACGGATTATTAGAATTTCAAAATTATCAACGATGTGGCAATGGTCCCCTGTTCAGATGACATTTCTTAAACAAGAATGTCGAGAGCTTCACGATGACGGAGCATAAGACTTATTATATTATCAATGAGGTGACAATGATATTCTGTTGTAACTTTGTTCCAAAAAAAATGTCTATCAAGAACTTTATGAGGATGAAGCATTAGAATTGAAAAAAATATCAACGATTTGGCTACGGTCCACTGGAAGAGTGACATTCCTGAAATAATATTTTCAAGAACATCATCAGCATGAAGCATTAGAATTTTATGGTTTCAGGTTGGCGATATTCCAAATATTCGCATATCGAGAACTTCAAGGACGAAGGGTTAAAATTGCAAAATTATCAACGACGTGGCGATGGTCCTTTGTAAAGAAGATATTCCTGAAAATGAGAATGTTGACCACTTCATGAATAGCCATGCATCGATCCACCATAGTCCAGCCCTTGGCTTGTTTAAGGTTCAATTCAGACATGTTCAAACACATCACGGCACTGCGTACGGAAATTTGTTATCTAGCCCATATATTAAGTAAGGACAAACAGTTCAATGAATGTCACACTAGCGCTACCGGGTGAGTGAATTTTGAACTAAACTCTTTACCATAAGATAGGTTTTGACCATCTGATCAACTTTACTGAAGACGGAAATCTTCTATTTAGTCCATATGTTTTAAATAAAACAGCAAAAAAGGTTATCTTCCATTTAATTCCACATGAATTTTGGTATCCATGACAGATACGTGTTTCGACTACAATGTGCAGTGTCATTCCCACTAAAGAACTTATCTAAATCTAATCCCCTTAAGTACTCATCCCCTAGGTATAAAAGTCAAGATCACAGGTATAAAAATGAAACTACAATGTGTTGAATCGGAACCTACCTAACTAATTAAAACCAAAGAACTAAACTAAAGGAGAAACATCTATACAACTCTCTAATAAGCAAAGGCTTGGTAGCCATCATAATACGTATCTGTCATGGATACCAAAATTAATTAAGTGGAATTAAATGGAAGATATCCTTTTTTGCTGCTTTATTTAAGCATTCCGCTAACAACCCAATTTCATTAATTCATTGTGATGTTTATTTAGCCTTTGGGAATTTCCATTATTAGAGAGTTGTATAGATTTTTCTCCTTTAGAACATTGAAAATACTCCAGGAACTGCTAGGTTGCAGAAAATACTCGCTAGAGATCTTCCAATGGGCTGGGCACTAGACTGATGCAAAATTTGAAGTTATCGCTCCACAGTGCCCAAACGGTTCCAAATTGGGCCCTGATTAGCCTCCCAAAATTTGAACTCATTTAGTTTGAAACTGACTTGGCACAAACCATTTGAAGTTTATATGGGAATTACTATGGAGAAACCATAATTTCGGTTCATATTTATCTCAAAACCCGCCAGTTCACTCTACTTTAAAAAGCTGATAGCTGAGCTTGTTGAAAATTTTCTCAGCTACACTTTTGTTAAAGAACACTTTTCGATCAAACGTAAGGAACACAAATTATTAATGATTCAAGTCACTGATGTCTTATGATTATGCTCAATCAACTGTTCAGCAGGCAACATTGGTGTTTATGGCGCGTAGAATAGAGGAAAAAAGCATGGCTACTATTTTTTATATATAATGCGTTTATTTTTCCAGGCTCATTTGCTATAGCTTTGCGGAGCCAATATTCATTGATTAGATTACAAAATTACTTAAAACTAACGTTAGTAAAGCGGGGACCGATTACTCGCGGCTATCTCGAGGTTAGGGGTGACAAATTGTAACAAATGGATGGCAGGGAAGGGATTGTGAACACAAGGTTTGGAGAGCAATGTGCTCTTGATCTCGAACTAAGCGACACTCTGATGAAAAAGACAAACATGGGGGTACACCGATGGGCAGCTAACTACTTGGGAGAACACAAGATGTCACTAACTACTAAATCCTCAGATCTATCCGTTTTAAAAACACATAAATTAAATTCAAATAGTCGAGATCTCGGCTCGCCAAGACATCTATAATAGGTATCGCGGGTTGTTTTCCTCGGGCCCTGAGGGATGTGGATAACTCAGATCTGGCAACACGGTGTAAAGTACACGACCAAACAACATGCTCGATATCGTGATAACCACTGCCACACGCACATAAATTGCTGCCTGAGAGCCCAATTCGATAGAAGTGCGAGTCTAACGAGCAGTGATTGGACATAAGCCTTGATATAACGCGTATAAAGTCGCGGCTCATGTCCAACCCTTTGAACCATGGTTTGTTCGACACCTGTGGGAAAATAGGATGTAACCATCTTCCCAATTCACATCATTCCATTTGTGTTGCCAACTGATGAGGACTTGCTGACGAGCAATGGAGAAAAATTCCTTGAAGGCGATTTGTCGCTCAAAAATATCGCCTTCCATAGCGCCCACCTTAGCCAACGAGTCCGCTTTCTCATTACCCGGAATTGAGCAATGAGATGGGACCCAAGCTAAGGTGATAGTATAGGAGCAGTTAGATAAAGCACTCAGTTTAGATCGTATTTCAGGCAGGAAATACGAGGAGTGCTTCATCGGCCTCATTGAACGAATAGCCTCCAATGAGCTAAGACTATCCGTAAAAATGAAATAATGGTCAGAAGGTAGTGAGGCAATTCGCTCTACTGCGTAAAATATAGCTGTGAGTTCCGCAACGTATACTGAGCATGGTTTCTGCAGTTTATAAGAGGCGCTATGAAATTGATTAAATACACCAAATCCAGTGGAAGCATTTATGGCTGACCCATCTGTGAAAAATCTTTTATCGTTACTTACATGGTGGTACTTGATTGCAAAAATTGAGGGAACAACCATCGACCGATGGTGATCTGGTATTCCATGAATTTCTTGCATCATGGTCAGATCAAAATTTACAGAGGAACTATAGAAGGCTTGGAAGCAATCACGATTGGAGATTAATGAAGAAGGACCAACCTCCAGCGTCATGTACTCATAGTACAAACTCATGAATCTTGTTTGAGGATTTCGGTCGAGCAGCTTCTCAAAGTTTTCTATTATCAATGGGTTCATTACCTCACAACGGATAAGAAACCGGAAGGACAGTTCCGCGAAACGATCTGTCAGTGGGAGAACACCCGCGAGTACTTCGAGGCTCATCGTATGCGTCGAGTGCATACAGCCAAGCGCGATTCGGAGGCAACGGTATTGAACTCGTTGCAGCTTCAAGATATGTGTTTTCGCCGCGGATTGAAAGCAGAAGCTACCGTACTCTAGAACCGACAAGATGGTTGTTCGATACAACCTGATCAGATCTTCTGGGTGTGCTCCCCACCAAGTTCCAGTAATTGTACGAAGTAAATTAATTCTTTGCTGGCATTTTTGTTTCAGATACGCAATATGTTTTCCCCATGTGCAATACTTGAAAGATATACTTTGAATGATTGTTCTACCCTTTAGTTGAAGCAGTAACTGTGCAGGATGATGCTTCCTAGAAAAAAACAACCAACTCAGTTTTCTCCGGAGAGAATTCGATACCCAACTTCATAGTCCAAGTAGACAAATTGTCTAAGGTATCTTGCAATGGTCCTTGCAGGTCCGGTGCACTTGGTCCTATAACGGACACAACGCCGTCATCTGCAAGCTGCCTTAGCGAACAATTTTCATCAAGACAACCATCAATGTCTTTTACATAAAAATTATAAAGGAGGGGGCTTAAACATGAGCCCTGGGGAGACCCATGTAACTAATTCGTGAAGTTGTCGAGTTTCCATGAGAAAAGCTCATATATTTCTCAGACAACAAGTTGCTCAAATAGTTGTTCATAATTGGTGAAAGCCCACTATCGTGGAGTTTATCCGAAAGGACATCGATACAAACAGAATCAAAAGCCCCCTTAATGTCCAAGAAAACTGAACCCATTTGCTGTTTTTGCGCATAGGCCAGTTGAATTTCAGTTGAAAGCAACGCAAGACAGTCGCTCGTTCCTTTGCCTCTCCGAAATCCAAATTGCGTATCTGAAAGTAAACCATTCGACTCGACCCATTGGTCTAGACGAAAAAGAATCATTTTCTCCAACAATTTCCGTATACAGGACAGCATCGCGATGGGACGGTACGAGTTATAATCCGACGCGGGTTTACCGGGTTTTCGAATGGCGATAACTCTTACTTGCCTCCAATCATCCGGAACAATGTTGTGCTCCAGAAATTGATTGAATAAGTTCAACAAGCGTCTCTTCGAGACGTCTGGGAGATTTTTAAGCAAGTTGAACTTGATTCTATCCATTCCTGGAGCTGAGTTGTTACATGAGAGGAGAGCAAGTGAGAATTCCACCATCGAAAACGGGGAATCTATTTCGTTAATACCCGACGGACGATCACGAACGTTGGTTTGAACCGACACCGAATCCGGGCAAACTTTCCGCGCGAAGCTGAATATCCAACTGTTTGAGTACTCCTTGTCTTCGTTGACCGGTGATGACGCGTTTCGCATTCTCCTGCCGACATTCCAGAGTGTTCTCATGGAAGTCTCTCGCGACAACCCATCGATGAACCGACGCCAGTAACCGCGTTTTTTGGCTTTAATCAAGCCCTTAAAAGTTTTCTCGAGGTCGGTGTACCGCTCGAAGTCCCCGACCTTACCGTGTCTGCGGAAGCGTTTAAACGTGGCGGACTTCTCGCTGTTCGCGTCGGTGCAATCCTTATCCCACCACGGAGTGGGAGGTCGCTTGCGAACGGAAACACCCGGAACACGTTTCGTCTGTGCTTGCAGCGCACAATCGATGATTAGACGCGCGAGAAAGGAGTACTCATCCAGTGGAGGAA